GTGCATGTATTAACCTTTTTATTACATTTCACTTATAAATGAACTAATTTTTTACCTTTAAACACCTGCAGAAAAGGTGCAAACTGGCACATAGAATTTCAGCAGAATGCAGGGATGCGGTGATTTCTTGTGATGCTCACTGTGAAGAACGTAGGGCTTAAACGTTCCTGCTCTCTGCTGCCAGAATCAGCTGTGGGGTCCTTGTGTGTTTGCTGATTGTATTTAAGATCACGTTTCTCTCAAAGGGCCACACTGAGATCGTGCGCATTCTCGTTAACAAATGCAACCTGGAGGCAGTAGACGATTACAGGATTTCCCCGTTATTTGTGGCTGCACAGTACGGACAGAGGGGGTGCCTGGAAATACTCGTTAACACCGGTAAACATGATTTACTTTTAATGCGAGCTGTACATTTGTTTTCCTCCTTGTTAAAGGATCTCGTGCTCCATGTCCTCTTGGCCTCTTCTTTAGGAAGTAATTAAGTAAAATAGATTACACAGTTCATTTTTTAACCTGCTTTCACTTCAGGTGCCAACGCGAACACGCAGGCAGTCGATCTGAGTACACCTCTGTTCATCGCCTCTCAGGAGGGACACCAGGCCTGCGTGGACTTCCTGTTGGACCACGGGGCTGACCCTAACATGGTCTGCAGTCACGACTGGCCCCAGTTTGCCATTCACGCCGCAGCCCAGTTTGGTCACATCGGGTACTGACACATAACTTAACCTCTTTTAAAACAAGGCTGATTGTGTATTTTTGACGTTTTGATATTCTGTCACTCCAGCATCCTCAGGAGGCTCATAGCTGTTACGGACCGTGCGTGCGACCGCGGCGAGAGCATGGTGAGTCCGGTGTATGTAGCTATTAACAGCGATCAGACCAAGAGTGTGGAATTGCTGTTGAGGGAAGGTTACAGCCCAGACGCCCAGGACTGCTCGCACACCCACGGCCTCCTCTCACCGCTCTCCCTGGCCTTGTATCGCACACCCCAGAAACCTTACAGGTGTGTAAGAATGCCGATTTTACCACCTTGCACATATTTGCAAGATAAACCAGATGGTTTATTTTAGTTTGATATTAAAATCTCTTCCAGTGAGTCGGTGAAACTGCTGATAGCTGCAGGAGCAAGGTTGAATGAGGAAGATTGGATTTATGCTTTGGCCACTGACGAAGCAGACCTGCTGCAGCTGATATTTGAGCACCGGTGGATACCTCGCCCAGAGGCTGTGACCAGCGACGAATCTGTACTGCAGCACGATGGGAAAACTGAGCTGAAGCTGGGAGAACTGAACGAGATGCTCTGTGTGGCTCTAAACCAAGTACATTTTGCTGGCTGCTGGCTTCCTCTTCTCCTGAAGGCAGGACTGGAACCATCTTTACTGCTTCAGCCCCACATGTAAGGCGCCACACCACCTCTGTCTCCTTAGTTATCAACAAGCTGTAATAGGTTTGTTCCAGGAATGGGCCTCTAAAAATCAAAACGCTTGACTTTGTTTAATTTGGCCAATCACAGTTTCAGGGTCAGCCTCTCATGCACAGCTGCTGTTTGGAGAAATCAGAGGATATTCTAAGTAAACAGTTCTCTAACTTTCTGACTCGCCCCACTTCAGAAGCCAAAATAAGGTCAAACGCCACAGTTAACAGGTTTTATTAGTCAGTGATGTTAAACGAGGATCCCAATTAAATTTTAGTGACATTAAGATTAGCACAGTAGCATTTGCATCAGCCTGTTTTTGCCTGCCAAAATCAAATTCACTCATCTTAATTGCTCTTATTTTATTTCCCTACCTTCACTCACCAGCAGTGGCCGTTTTCCCCACCAGACGAGGACTTCGGGAATAATCTTAACAAAAAAAAAAGCTTCCATATTTAAAGCTGTCTGGATATGCCTGAGAAAATCCTTTTAAACAGGAGATCAGCTAAATTTAAGTCAGGATCCAAAGCTGGTTGATCACTCATCATCATTATCTGTTCCTTTGTGTCATCTGTTCTTTGTAGGTTGGAAGAGGCAGACAGCCAGGTGTTAAATTACCTCCTTGAGTTTGTAAACTGGTCGACTTTATCTCCCCGTTTGAAACATATTCTGGATCGAAGGGTGGCAGAAAAGTCCTGGGATCCGCATCCGTGTTTCGGTACAGCAGTAAATATGCACTGCAGAGTTTAAATAACCCGCACGTGGGAAACACTGCAGCGATTGATCTTTTCTCTCCACCTTCTTTCAGACTCCGTCCCCTGTCTTTCCCACATCTGCCGGCTGCAGGTCAGAGCACTGCTGGGACCAGATATCCTGATGAGGACCAATGTCGTCCAACAGCTTCCTGTCCCCAACCTGCTTCACGATTTCCTTAAATTCAGGGACATCCCAGAAGCTTCGTACACACACGCGCCACCATTGGCAATTTTACAGCGAATCGAGGAACATCGCAATACACACCAGCACAGACATGTTCTATGACCACATCAGTGTCTTATGTTCAAACCCAAGAATCCATATTATTCCATTAAATGCAAATATTCAAGTCTGGTTCATCATTTTATGCACATTCCTACTTGGAGTATGGATGGATTGGAGGTTTAAACAGAAGAATGTCAGGTACAGAAGAGGGACAAATGAATAGAAAAACCAAAAAGCCTCTTACTAAGGTGTTGGACCACCAGAACAGCACTACTGCTCCTTTATGTTTATTCTTGAAATGTCTGGAAAGTCACTGGAGCGCTGGACACTATTCTTCCAAAAGATATTCCCTCATATGTTTTGATGATGTTGGAGAGGACTGTCTAATGGTCAAACATCTCCCACAGGCGTTCATTTGGATTGAAATGTTGTGACTGCACACGTGTGATTCACACCATTTTCATATTCTTCAGTGACCCTTGTGCCCTATGGATGAGGGGAATTCTCACTCTGGAAGAGAGCATACATGAGGATAAAAGCCAATCACATAGACAAACTTTGTGTTGATTTGCAGTGATCCCTCCCCTTTTTGTGCAGGAAGTACAGCTAGTGTCAATAAACAGCTCACTAGTGGTTAAAATAACAACAAAGCAGCCAAGAAATATATATCATACAAATAGATGTAATTATCCAAACTCATTCATATTCTTCCTCCGTTTTTTTGGCACCAGATCATCAAAAGCTGTACGGGGACGATCAGATGGCTCGTACGAGTCTACGCACTGCAGGCGTGAAGGATTACGGGCGTTTTTTTTCCTTTAATTTGTCATCTATCCGTAGCTTACTTCACCTGTTACTTTCTAGAAATTGTATTGTACTTAAGTGATTTGTAATAAATTTTATGACTAAGCCTTTGGCATTAATGCTACGATTTAATAAAATTATTTTTCTAATTAAAGTGAAAATTTCCCCAAACAAGAGATATTTGTTCGCTTCATTTATCAAACGACATGCTCTGTTTGTGAAATGAAAATAAATGCCTGCTGCTGCATTCTGATTGGCGCAGACTCGCGTCAGCATCACCGAGACCAAATCTGATTGGCCTACATCACATTTCGGGGCGTTGCATCTGACTGAAGGAAGTAGAGACGCAAGAAACCAGCTCGTTTAAGGGGGTGTTTACCTGATACTTACAAAATAAAATCTGTAATGTAATGCCGTTAAATCGCGAGCTGAGGAAGGATATGTCTTAATGTATTTCATACGTGAGTATGCTGTGCTTGTTTTTCTGGAGCGGACGTGTTTTTAGCCCGGCGTACACACGCTGGCAGCTGTAGCCTGTTAGCTCGATGCTGCTCCGTGTGCCTGTGTTTCCATTCAGCGCGTCAGATTAGAAAAATACACTCAATCATCCGCGGTTAATTTTGTGAAGAGGCTAGCTCACTCAGCTGTCTACACCTGTCCTGTTTTCCAGTCCGGGTGAGGACGAAGCGGCGACGCTAATGTCTGTCGATTATTTTTTCTTCTTCTTTAGCATATGGAAATATCAGCAGGTAGCAGGTTAGCCAGCTGTAGCTAACATCGGAGCGCTGTTGGCGAAAACGAGAAAAGCGGGTTTAATTTGCTTTATTAGAAACTTCTGACAGGTGTCATAGTACACCTGTATACACCGATACTGGGTCTCGGTTAGTTAACTAATATATAATACTATATATTACTGCAGCAAACTCTAAGCGGAGCGGAAAGTCCTTCGAAATGAAAGTTTATTGTATGAATCAGCCAGGCAAAAAATAAATAAATAATTTCCTATAACTATATATTTGTAACCACAAACAATGCTCTTGCTGTCAGAAATCTTTTGTAAAAGACCCAGATAGGCTGCACTTCAGTCAGCAGTATTTGTGCAGACCAGTAATGTAACGAACACATAAACACCACGTCACTGGATTTTACATTCATAAAGAAAATCAAGAGTTAGATGGTAAAACATCCAAAATTTAAACAAAGTTTGGGAAACCTAAATCATCAGAATATGTTCAGGGCTCGCAAAATCGCTAGCC